CTTAAAAAGATGAGAGATTCTCATAGTTGAGGTATACCTATGATGAAAATTACAGGCCTCTCTCATCTTTTCTCATAGTTGAGGTATACCTATGATGAAAATTACAGGCCTCTCTCATCTTTTCTCATAGTTGAGGTATACCTATGATGAAAATTACAGGCCTCTCTCATCTTTTCTCATAGTTGAGGTATACCTATGATGAAAATTACAGGCCTCTCTCATCTTTTCTCATAGTTGAGGTATACCTATGATGAAAATTACAGGCCTCTCTCATCTTTTCTCATAGTTGAGGTATACCTATGATGAAAATTACAGGCCTCTCTCATCTTTTCTCATAGTTGAGGTATACCTATGATGAAAATTACAGGCCTCTCTCATCTTTTCTCATAGTTGAGGTATACCTATGATGAAAATTACAGGCCTCTCTCATCTTTTCTCATAGTTGAGGTATACCTATGATGAAAATTACAGGCCTCTCTCATCTTTTCTCATAGTTGAGGTATACCTATGATGAAAATTACAGGCCTCTCTCATCTTTGCAACTCAGCATTCTCTCTCCTCCAAACACGACGAGTTGAGTTTAGACCAAAACATTCTACTTTGGTTTCATCTGACCATATGACATTCTCCCAATCCTCTTCTGGATCATCCAAATGCTCTCTAGCAAACTTCAGACGGGCCCGGACATGTACTGGCTTAAGCAGGGGGACACATCTGGCACTGCAGCTCTCATCTTTTTAAGTGGGAGAACTTGCACAATTGGTGGCTGACTAAATACTTTTTTGCCCCACTGTATGTGCTTAGTGTATGGGAATACAGTTATACAAAGATGGTTACAACTACAGTATTTAGCCTGCCTTGATCTATGATATCAAAAAAAAAAAAATGCTAGCTCAAGAACCTATTAATATTGCTTAAGTGTGGACTACGATTCAGACATTTAGTTCAAATGTCAGAAACTACTACAAATGATAAGAAAATAATATGACAATACAATATGTAAAATCAAAGTCCCCATTGTTTTTATTTTTTACAATATTTATATGAATACAAATAATTGGATATTCAATATATTTTTCCTACTGTAACAATAAAATATACTCTGTTAAAATTTACAAAAATAGTTCTGAGAAAAGCTGTTTCCTATATCTATCGGAAACTACATTCCTATAACTACACAGAGCTAGTAGAATAATATAATTAGTTTAGTTTATCTGATGTTTCTTTTGTATAATCTGACAAAACAATCAATAATTTAAAATATTATGCACTTGCACGTTATTTTTTTTCCATTTAGAAAACTTGTCTATAAACAATTTAATAATTTATCAATTCTCTTTCTCCCTCTAACATAAATGTAGTAATAACAAAAAGTAACCAGCAAAATGCATAAAGTAAGCAGGAAATTAATTTTATAATATAGACAATAAAATGTGAGAGACGAATCTGGTTATCTACATTGTGACTGTTTGGCACTATGTCAAGCTATGGTACACTTTTTGATACTTTTTAAGAATTTGATACTAATTTATTCACTATGCTTATTTTAGTATGTTTATTCAGAAGACTAAATTTTTTGCTAGATTTTGATTTTGTTATCTCTATGATTATCACTTCTAGTGTAAATTTAATGCTAATTTATTCACCATGCTATTTTAGTCAGTATGTTTATTCTGAAGACTAATGTTTTGCTAGATTTTGATTTTATCATCTCTATGAATGTTATTTCTAGTATCAATTTTGACATTAACATAATTGATATATTTTATAAACCAGCCAGAAATGTTGTTTAGGGACAGTATAGAATTTATATTTCTTCAGGTTTCCCTGCTTCTTTATCAAGATATTTGGTGTAGAGGAAGACTTCTGGTTTAGCTTTACCATACTGTATATAGGATATTTAAGTAAATTTCTACCCTTTGCCAAAATTCAGAGAACTTCAGTTGTTAAGCTATCACTTAACTCCAGCATCTTTAAAATGTACATTTCACCAGGTAACAAAATACTTATTATTACATTTTTGTTCCATTTCTCCTCCCTCCTCCAAACCCACATTACTTAAGATCCTATAAACCAGGGTTTCTCAACCAGAGTTCTGTGGAACCCTAGTGTTCCATGAGAGGCCACTAAGGGTTCCCTGGAGATCATGATTTATTTAAAAAATAATTTCAAATTTGGGCAATGCTCTCGTGGTGATGAGCAGAGGCCGAACAAAAATTTAGTTACAACTCTTTCTGAGTTCTCTGGTGGTGCACTGTAGGACTGTGTTTATTTCGTTGAACCCATTCTTAATTCGTGATGTGAGATAGGGAAGACCATTGATAACAGGTGAACACTATATTGCAGGAAGGGAGGAATGTATTGAAGGAAGGGGAGGGAAAAGGGCATTTTTCAAGAAATTAATGGACTTGTCCAACTTAGTCTGTGACGTCAATCTCCCCCTCCTGCATCTTTTCCCTGTGGTTTTCCTGTAGTTATTTTATTCTGTTGTTTTAAATAAATTTTGTACACGTTTATTCAATCATGTCTGAGGGTCCAATGTGGTGATTTTTGAAGAGGAGGTATGACGCTGGGCTTGGGGATCTGGATGTGTGGTAGAGCCCACTCAATGGCTGTATTGAAAGTTGCTGAACATTTCTGGAACTCTGCAGCTGACTTTGTTTAATAGTTTTAATATGGTTTTATAACCTTTTAAAATATGCTTTTATGTGGTTTTATATTGTGTTTTGTTTATTGTTTTTAGTTCTGTTTTTTCACTGTTGTAACCTGCCCAGAATGATACATATGAGATGGGTAACTCTACAGTAAATTAACAAATAAATAAATAAATGGCCCACCACAGGGCTGCCCCCTCCACCCAGCCATGGAGCTGTGTGACTCTGTGTCCATTTCCTCTTCACCTCCCCAAGAGACTAAAACCCCAGTTCTTCTTTTTTCATGGTCAAAAGGATACTGTATTGACTTTGTGGACTGCATTGCACAAGGTTGCTATTTACCCTAGTAACATCCATAAAACCAGCCACCATGTCTCACCATGATGTTCTTCCTACTGGTATCCTCCCTTATCATTCCTGTTTCATTCTTCTCCTAGCTGTCTGCCTCTCCCCCATCCCAACCAAGCATGGATCCTTTACTTTCTCTGTTCCCAACAGCAGCAGCTAAATTGGAAGGATTTGCACTTGGCTTAGGTCCAACGTGACTTGCTGCTGCTACTGAGGTAGATGGCAATGCTGTCCACCAATTGCAGAGCTAAAAGGGGAGAGGATTTGTGCTTGGTGGGGGGAAGGCAGAGAGGGAGAGGAACCTTCTTTTCTCACTCCCCTGACTGCAGCAGCAGGGACGCACTGCCCACATGTGAAGATGGCAACTCTTTCTTGAACTCTACTTTGATGGGTCCTGGAGATCTCTGAGTCATTCAGAAATGACTAACTTAGCCTGCCAGTTCCACCCCTTCAGAATTTGTCAACAGCACCCATTTGATGTCATGAGGGAATTTCTCTGCAGAATAATCTGATGGGATAGAACAAGGAAAAACCAAAAACCCCAAAGGCATTGTTCTTTCCATAACAGTGATATACAGACACTGCAATAGAAATTGAAGGTTTGTCCTGAGATGATACAACAGCCAGTTTGGTGTAGTGGTTAAGGCACCAGGCTAGAAACCAGAAGCCCAGGAATTCTAGTCCTACCTGAGGCATGAAGCCATCTGGGTGACCTTGGGCCAGTCTCTCAGCCCTAGGAAGGAGGCAATAGCAAACCACTTCTGAAAAACCTTGCCAAGAAAACTGCAGGGATTGGCCCAGGCAGTTGCCAGGAGTCAACACTGACTAGAAGGCAAAAAACATCCAACACGCTTCCTAAGAAGATAAAAACTACAACCCTTAAAAAGAGCAGAGTTAGTTAAGCATGAGGAAGAAAGCAAATGAGCTCCTGTGCAGTTGCTCATGAATATCAGAGCATGAAACGATCAATCTTAACCTACAGCCCTTTTCCAATTTCCCTCCTCACACAAAAAGCTGAAGTTTCAGAACACTTCTGTACACATTATTCTGACTCCTGGTTTCCTCTGCCACCTGCATCAGTGACCCTATTCTGCCCTTACTGTCAACCAGCTTCTTTTACTTCCCTGCCTTGTGTGAAGCAAGTAACAAGTGTTTACTTTTTTCTTTGAGCACAACTTACTGTCTTAAGACTCATCCAAAAGAGATAAAATCATGCCTTTAGAGCAGATTTTGTCTGAATTGATCTGTGCTAATGCAATGAGACAAGAAAGAAAACCAAACCAAATTGTGCCTGACAAAAAAACTACTTCCACTTGTAGTCTGTGTATTATGAAATACAGAAAAAAATTGTAGCCTGTGTATTATGAAAGAAAAACGATTTTGAGTTGTCTTTAGTAACAATGCAGCTTTCACTTCAGTTTTGTCCCTGGCTGTGTGAAAGAAACAATATTTTTCTCCATAAAAATTACGATAATGTTTAAGTCTCTTAACTATTCCTATACATACATCAGCCTCCCTCAACCTAGCGAAACTCCGTCCAGTTGTGTTGGACCTTAACTAACAACCATTTTGAGAGAGATGGTGAGAGCTGTAACCTAACGCAGCCGCGATTTTTCAAGAGTTTGCACCGACGACTCTGTTTCCTTTTTCATCCTCCTGTTTCACACTGGACCACGCCTCTTTCCCTGAACTGACTGGCAGCCACGCCACTCCCTGCCTTGCTTCTTCTGAACTCGACCTCGCACTCCCGCCTCCCGCCTTCCAAACGACCCTTTGCTATTTCTTGGTTTGCGTGGTATTGTCTTATCGGTAACTCCCTCTCCCCAAACTCAAAAGGATTATGGAAGCTTTAACTCGGATCTCCTCCTCCTCCAATGTCCCTCTCCTGCAGTTACTCAACTCCAAGTCCTGCGCGACTGAAATTTAGAAGAGGGTAGTTCCGAACCCCTTCTAGCAGCCCTTCCCACCCTCGAAGTCCGGCGTAGGAACGCCTCTTACTTGAGAAATCGACGGGTGGTGGAAACCTCCGACCGGGGTCTCTCCTCGCGAGCCCTTGCCTGTCCAGCGGCGGGAGGGAATTTGCGGAGAGACGCGCTCCCAAGGTGAAATCCGCGTCAGCTCGCGCGTTCAGGCTCTCAGGGCGCCTCCCCCAGCTCCCGCTCCCGGCGTCGTGGCTGTTTTCTGCTACTCTGGCTGGGCGCCTCTGGTGAAGCCCCAGTCGGTTCAGGATGAGCGGAGGGCTCGCTTCCTCATTTTCTCTTTCGCAGCCCCAACTATTTCCTCAGCGCGGAGGCTCAGCCGAGGAACACTTCCTCGTCGGACGAAAGCGCATCTGCCCTCATTTGCTTAAGAGCCTTTCAGGCCGGTAAGGGGTGGGGGAGCAGAAAGACCCAGGTTTGGGTAACAACCTGCTCAACTCGGGGATCGGGTGCTTCCAGGACTTCCGCGGGGATGTGGCGCCTTCGAATGTCGAGCTCCGCCACGTCTCGCAGAAAGGTCTCGGCAATTAACATTGGCTGTCACGGTCCACCGCCTGATTCTAAGTCTTGTGACCTGCAGGACCGTAACTTATGTTTAAAAATTTCCAGAGGAATAGCTGTGCTGGCCTGCTGCTACAAAAACAGCAGACTGAGTGTAGGCATCTTTAACGCTGATGTGATTTGGCATGGACTTTGTGGATTACTTCCATTTGCTTTATTGCATTTATTAACTCAATAATAAACTTGAGCATTCCATTCAACAGACACTTAAACTGAAAACAAGATACCTAAAACCACAAATAGGGAATACTTGATTTGATAAGATTTCTTTTATTCCATGCCTAAGATTGCCTGCTATGTTGATTTTGAAGAAGAAAAAAAGTCTGACATGAGGAGAAGTGATCTAACAGGAAAAATAGCTCTCTTTTGTTCTCTTACTTCATCAACATAGCCTGGAGCCTGGAAGGCGGTATGTAGGGGACGCTCCCCAGGTAGGCAGCTGCTAAGATCCCTTTTGCTTCTATCCCAATTTGCAGGGTGCAAGTAAGCAAGAGAAGGCAGCATCTTGCTTAATCTCTCTGAGCTGATTGACAGATGATGGGGCCCACATTGTTGACATGAGCACGAACAGTTGCCTTTTCCTGCTCTGTGGGGGTTAGAAAATTGGTCAACAGATGGGCAACCACCTCATTCTCTCAGTTGCTGGTGCTCTGTCTTCTCCATGGCATCATGATGAGAACTGAGCCAAAATACCCCACATTTACATATCAACCAGTGAGAGAATTGAGACAGGAAGTGAAGTAGGTAGCCTGTGGTAGAGGAGAAAGCAGGTGAGCATCAACCATTACTCCTCCGACCCTTCCCATGGAGGGAAGGAAAAGTTACAGCATGGAGGCAAGAAGCAGCTACTGCTTCCTTTCACTCACCCTTTCTCTTTGTAGGGGGGAGTGGATAAGTGTGCTAAGGAAGAGAGACCTATTGTTGCCTTTAGTTTGTGCTCAGCCTTTGCACTGCTCCAAGGCCTGAGAAAGAATGTGGGAATGAGTCTTTTGCCACTCACAACCTTTCTTTTGATTATTCAGCATGCAAGTTCAGCATGGAACAAACAGTCTTCTCCAGGCAGCACACTGGTGAGGGTTCTGTCCAGTGTGCCAAATTCTGCCTATTGTGCCATCCAGAAAAACAGAAGGAGCAAGAGAAACAGCTTCTGCCTCCATGCTTTTGGTCATCCTCTCCAAAAATCAGGCAACAGTCTCTGACTGCTAAACTTCCTATGTTATTTAGAGGAGGTCATGTATCAGTGGACCTTATGCATTTATATAGAACATTTCTTAGAAATATTCAGCTGTTATCTTGGAAGAATACCAGGACCATCTATATCAAATTGCTTATGTTTATGTTAAATGAACCCAGGAGGAAAAAAAAAATCAGTGTTTGGAAAAGAGTCCTTAACCATTGTTGCCAGCATATGACATTCAGTCTCATAAATTCTACTTAACTGATACAGCAGTCCCACAGTCCATTAAAGGCTTTATACTGTACTTCTACTCCTTTTGAAATTGTGCTTAAGAACTTTTTTTTTTTATTTTGCCTGCAGTGAATTCCCAGTATGCCATGACATTTGCAACCACTCCTATGCAAAGGTATGAATGGGGAAAAAATTAAAAGTTATGCAAGATCTAGATGTCTGTCATTTCAAAATTTCCCAACCAGCTGGTTAAGTGAGTTTGTTTCCTTCACATATTACATAGTGTTAGTACAAATAGTATTAATAATAATAAAGAAATGTACAGGAAATAGATACAAAAACATACTGTTTTTATTTGATGTCTCTGGGGTGAAAAAAGGTTCCAGATCTTAATATTCAGCATTTAAATTAAATTACAGAAAGGTATTATGAAGGTTGAATTCCAACCATTCATAAAATATTTTCATAAAAGTATTTGCATTTCATAAAATATTCTCATAAGAGTATGTTACATGGAGACTTTATTGACAGCACACTGATGATTCCTCTCTGTAGTTCTGTGTAGCTGAAATTTAATTCTGTTGAAATGATGCCCTTTGGGGTGCCTGCAGTATTGCCTTTATTGACATTTGGATTCCATCTGCCATCACACCATTCAACACTGTTTCTTCAAGTGCTTTGAAATAAGTTTAAAAATACAATTCTGCTAAACAAGAATTTCCTTAGGCACACTTCCATAGACACAGTACTAAAGCAGATTGATTGGGTCTTCTCTAGCCGACTTTGCCCGTTTTCTGTAACAAGGGGTTCTGGGAAGTAGATTCTAGAATGCAAGTCTTTGTCAAACATGTGGTTCATCTCCTTGAGCTATTTTAGTGATGAAGATACCTACAAATCCTGTGATGAATAATCGGGGATAAGTATGTAAGGGACAAAGTTTAATTTGAATTAAAATGTATTATTTTTGCTCTTTGGGTATTTCTGTGGTTTCCTGTAGTTAAGTGTTTGTTTTAATTAGCGACTAGTTCAATCTTAATGTATCGCTTATTAAGTTCTCAAGAGGGCAAGCTATTAGTGGAATTAGAAGACATCAATTATCTCAATATTCACAAACAGAAAAAACACATCAGCCTTCCAACCTAGTGACCTCCAGTTGTGTTGGACCATAGCTACGAACCATGTTGGCAAGAAATAATGGGAGCTGTAAATCTAACACAATTTAAATTCCTAAAATTTAAGGAATTTTAAAAGAGTGGATGCCTATCCTGCACTCCTTCCTCCCACAAAGATGAGGCTGCTTCTTCATGTATTCTCTGCTTAATATTGAATGCATTTCTTTCCCTGAACTCTTCTTGCTTCTTATGTGGCAGGTCTTGCTTCCTCCTCTTTCCAAATTAGCCTTTACTATTCCTACATTTCCAGACTATTAATAACTCCCTCTCCCAAAGTTCCCAAGCTTTAAATCATTTGTGACAGAAATTGAGATGGGCACTTCTGTCATCCTGATCCCCCCTCCCAGTCCAGTATATTAACACCTCTACTTGAGAGGAGAAAAAAAGGGGGGGGGGACCCCTGGGAAGCCTTTCCTTGCAGGTCCCAGCATTTGTGGATGGACATGTCAAGGTGAAATCCAGATCATTCAGAAGCATCTCCTACCTCAGGTGCAGTCTGAAATTTGCATTCTTTGTCCAAAAGCCAGTATAGCTCTTTTTTCTTTTATTGCCATGCCTGCTGTAGCCCCAAGTCAGTTAAGAATGAGTGGAGCGCTCACTTCCTCATTTTCTTTTTGCAGGCCTAACTATTTCTTCAGTGCCAAGGTTCAGCTGAACAACAGTTCAGCCTTTTCTGCACTGCAGCCTTAAACTGCTTGACCTTCCATGTGTAAACTGGCTGGAAATTAAGCTGGTTTAAGAAATTCCTTGCTGGATTTTAACCCTTTTCTTCACTTTGGTCATGGTGATGCATGGCAGGGTGAAGTGCCCTGATCAGGACAGTGTTCTAAAATGGTCTCAAGGACATATATATATATATATATATATA